GGACAACGTGGATGTGGACGCAGCCACCAGGAAGGGTGTCCTGGTCATGAAGTAAGAGCAAAAATGTGGAGACATCCCTGCCTGTGCTCCTGGGAGGCAGGGGAGGCTTCAGTAGGGTGCCTTTCCCACCCCTGACACCCTGGCACCACCCTGTGTATCTCCATCCTCATGGGGCACAGACCCCTGTCAGCCCGGGGGAGACACACACCAGTGACACCACTCTCCATCCCTAGCACACCCACTGGGAACAGCCTCAGTGCCGCAGAGCTCACCTGTGGGATGATCATGTGCTTGGCCAGGTGAGCGCAGGGCGGGATGGGGACACAGGTGTGTGTCCTGCAGCCCCTTGCCCTGTGCTGACCACAGCCTCTTTTTCAGGCAGATCCCACAGGCAGCTGCCTCCATGAGGGAGGGCAAGTGGGACCGTAAGAAGGTAGGAGACAGTTGGAGCACCTCGGGGTGGTGGGTGCCCACGTGGGGTGTGCTTGCTCATTCTGCTGTGCACCCTAGTACATGGGCATGGAGCTGAACGGGAAGACACTGGCCGTGCTGGGGCTGGGGCGCATCGGCAGGGAGGTGGCCACCCGCATGCAGGCTTTTGGCATGAAGGTAAGGAGCCCAGGGGAGGAGGGATGGGGACAGTGGACCCCTCTGGCCCATTTTTTTTCTCTGGCCCAGACACAGCTGCTGTGCCAGGCTGCAGGAGCGAGCGCCCATTCTTCCTCAGACCATAGGTTATGACCCCATCATCACCCCTGAAGTCTCAGCCACATTTGGCGTGGAGCAGCTGTCACTGGAGCAGATCTGGCCCCGCTGCGACTTCATCACAGTGCACACACCACTGCTGCCCTCCACCACGGGTACGGGGCAGGTGCCAGGGTGAGGGGTGCTGGGGAGAGCCCGGGCAGCCCCGTGCCGCTCACAGTCCTCCTTTTGCAGGGCTCCTGAACGACAGCACCTTTGCCAAGTGCCGCCGCGGTGTGCAGGTGGTGAACTGTGCCCGCGGTGGCATCGTGGATGAGGGTGCACTGCTGCGGGCGCTGCAGTCAGGCCAGTGCGGGGGGGCTGC